ACATGCATCCATTCACTATGGACCATCCATACGAATGAATCATGCTATTTGAGTTACAGTTGATCAGATTAAGCAACGATTGCATAATCTGACTTAGAAAACGAAAAATTTTGAAATCTAGACCTCGGACCGTCCGTTCTGGAGGCAGAACGGATGTTCCAGGCTTGCAAAACGATCGATCTGAACCAGCCGGAACAGAAGGCCTGCAGCAGACGGGACGGACGGGCCACGGATGTTCCAGGCTTGCAAAACGATCGATCTGAACCAGCCGGAACAGAAGGCCTGCAGCAGACGGAACGGACGGTCCAGAGCGGACCATTCGTTCTGAACTGTGCAGTCTGCCACCCCCGGACCGTCTGGTCTGACTTACCCAGAACGGACGGTCTAGAGTTCGTCTACGTGATCAGATCACGTTTTTCGGCGTTCTTGGCCCGATCAGACCCGAAACTGATCTGAATTCTTCTGTACACCAAAAATTCGAACTCCTGCACTCTATGCAACATGAAACATGAAATCTACCACATATTCAATCATCAAACATGCATAGACATCAAAGCAAACATGGATTCAAACAATTCAAATCCTAAAACATGTGTGATCGGGTTCTACGAAATCAAAACAGAGCAACCAGGCTCTGATACCATTGATGGAATTCTTGAGATCTCTAGAGCAAATCCTATTCCTAAGAGATCGATTCTAGGGTTTGCGCAGCGGATGTAAAACAAAAATTTGAATGAAACCCTAGAACCATGCTTCTATGAATCGTAGAAACATTAGAACGCTTACCTCAATGGATCCGGGGCCTGTATCAATTGAAGAACTCGTCTGATCACGAAAGGGAGGAAGAATACCTCGCCCTCTACACATATCCACACCTCGGGATGGATTCCAACGATTGGAACTTGTCTGCTAGAACCCGAATCTGCTATTCGATTTTGTGTTTCATGAAAACGGGACTTCGATCTCACTCTTGAACCTCTTGGATCTCACCAAAAGTCTGTCAAAAGTGTTCTAAAGTCGGCCACCGTCATTAGGATTTAATCTCCTTCTTATAAAGTGATTTAACCTTAGTTTCGGTTTAATTTCGGAAAAACACGAAGCCCGGAACGGACGGTCCAGAAATACACGTGGACCGTCCGTTCCGGCTATGCAGAACGGATGGTCTGCGTTAAGTGGACCGTCCGTTCCAGACCTTCTGGAACGGACAGTCCAATCTGGACCGTCGGGTCTGGACCTGGCGGACCTCCATTCCGGACTTCTGGTCCGTCCGTTCCAAACCTTTCCGTCTTGGTTTTTCCGTCGTTTTCTCATGCATTTTGTCCTTCCCTACGTGTAAAATCTCTATTCCGGATACACAAGTCATAGGCGGTCTCTAGAAGGCACTATGACTACCTATCTCGAATAGAGTTTGTTCGTGATCTTATGAACGCCAGTGATGATTCCGGTTGATGATCCTTTTGTATCGCGATATCATATATATGTCGAACATAAGGCATGGACAAGCCACCTTATCTGATTCGACTGCTTTCTCGTTCACTGAGTTAGACTGTCTGAAATAGACGACATTCGTCTATAGTGCAACCACACATTTCTACAGTCTCGTTCACACGAGGGGCCCAGCGATATCTCTCTCTTTTACTAGAGGTAGAAATCACATCTTGACTATCTACAAACCAGCACATGATTCTTTTCGTACCTGATACACGCCTTTATAGTCCTCCTGTTACGCAGGACGTTTGACGTATTCAAAGCACACAACTCCTCATGTTGGATTCCGTAGATATCTCAGGTCTTAGGATCCAATCATGGAACCGCCATATGAGATTCAAGTCATGACACTAGTCCATGTGACAATCTCATGCGGGTCAATCCGGTATTCCGTTCTCCAACGAATACCTATGATTGTGATCGTATCCAATACCTATGATCATCTCTGTGATCATCAATCACACATCATACTAGTCTTAGTGTATCATTATTCCCACAATGATACATGACTAGGGAGTTTAGTATTGTTCATAACAATACATGGATTTCACAACATATCTAATATGCACAACATGTAATGAATCAAACACTTTCATAAAACTATAGAAAGTATCAATACATCAAATGTATCCAAAGAAAGCTCGCAAATAGTACATCATAGAGTACTAAACCAACAATTCTGCCGTCCACTCGAACCTGACGTTCTTCCCTGTCAGCTTCGTCAATGGTCGAGCGATCTTGGTGAATCCCTCGACGAATCGTCAGTAATAACCGGCTAGTCCTAAGAAGCTCCTGACTTCTGTCGCAGAAGTCGGGGACTGTCACTCCATGACGGCCTCGATCTTGGCCGGATCGACCTGAATGCCCTGGGCCGATACCACATGTCCCAGGAATCCAATCTCCTGTAACCAGAAGCTGCACTTACTGAACTTTGCGTACAACCGGTTCTCTCTCAGCCTCCACAATATCTTCCGCAGGTGCTCCTCATGTGTCTGCGGATCCGGCGAATAGATGAGGAGGTCATCTATGAAAATGATGACGAACTCATCCAGATAGTCCATGAACACGTGGTTCATCAGTTGCATGAACACCGCAGGCGCGTTCGCGAGTCCGAAAGGCATGACCACGAACTCGAAGTGTCCATATCTCGTCCGGAATGCCGTCTTCTGTATGTCATCCTCCTTGACCCGAATCTGATGATATCTGGATCGTAGATCGATCTTCGAAAACCACTGGGCCCCCTGTAGTTGGTCCAGCAACTCATCAATCCTCGGTAGCGGGTACCGATTCTTGATAGTCACTTGGTTTAGCCCTCGGTAATCGAAGCACAATCGCATACTCCCATCCTTCTTCTTCACGAAGAGTATCGGTGCTCCTCACAGTGAAATGCTAGGGCGAATGAAACTCTGCTCCACCAACTCGTTCAGCTGCTTCTTCAGCTCGACCATCTCTGTAGGTGCCATCCGATACGGAGCCTTGGAAATTGGCTCGGTACCTGGTAATACGTCTATACTGAAGTCAACCTCCTGACTGGGTGGTAATCCCAGTAGATCCTCGGGAAACACATTTGGAAACTCTGGGGCAACGGGTGTATCCTCCAATCTCCGCTCCGATTCCTGTGTAGCTGTAATGACTACCAGGAATGCTTCGTTGCCTTCCTAATCATCCTTTCGGCTTTCAGCGCCGAGATGATCGGGTCCGCTGCCGGTGCTCCTCGGCCTCGGAATTCGAACCCTCCGGATTCGTCCGTAAACAAGATTGTCCTCTTGGGATAATCGATGTAGGATTAGAACCTCATCAACCAATCCATGCCCAAAATGATATCGAATCCCCCGATGGGTACCACAATGAGATCTGTGGTTAATAGACGACCGCAAACCTTAAGGGGTACGCCTCGCAGGATCCCGTGCACTGCTAACGTCTCTCCAGAAGGTATGCGCATGGTAAAATCACTCCTCAGCTCGATCTCTCCTATCTCAAGCCTCTCCGCCCATCCCCCACTCAGGAAACTATGGGTCGTCCCGGTATCAAACAACGTGTAACAGGCAACTCCATAGAGATATAGAGTACCTGAGATCGCGGCAGCCTCGGCTCCATCAGGGTGAGCCTCCTCCTCCTCCTCTTCCTCCTAGATCTCCTGCTCGGCAAGAGCATAAACTCTCGGGGCTGCTCCAGTCCTCGCTGGTGTTTGGGGTGGTCTGTCCGCCTGGCCTGGTGGTCGTGGTGGTCTCGGTGCCAGAGCCAGTGGTCCCGTAGTCCTCGTCGGACAACGTGATGCAATGTGTCCGGGCTGGTCGCAACGATAACAGATCAGTGATCCCCTCGTCGCCAGTGGTGGTGGGGCATGAACAGCGGACGCCTTGCCCTTGTCGCATGGGTCGCTGCTCTGGACGTTCTTCCCAGTTGAACACATACCAAAGCACTTCCTGAAGGGGCTCCGCTCACGAGTCTTCCTTTCCTTCTTCTCCCGCTCTCCACGCTCCACCTTCTCCAGCTGCGAGATATACCGACTCAACGTAGGTAAGGTCGGAGTCCAACAATGAACTTCTGAATCTTCGACGCCTCGATGGGCACCAGATGCCCTCCATACATCAGTAGACGGTGAACTCCGCCTCGTACTCGATGACAGTCATGTCCCCCTGCTGCAACATGAGGAACTCTGTCACACGGTACTCACGGTCCTGTCGCCGGAAGTACTTCGCCTCGAACTCTTGTCGGAACTCCTCCCATGTGAAGCGATGTCCCGTTGATGCCTCCTGCACCACCTTCGCCCACCAATGTTGGGCCTGGCCCGATAGATGATGGCTCGCGATCATAGCCCGGTACTGGTACGGGCAATGCAGATACTCCAAGTCCTGAGAGATCTGGGTGAGCCACTCCTTCGCAGCTTCCGGCCTCACCGATCCCTCGAATCGCGGGGTATGCATCGCCCGCAGCTCCTTGACGATGAGGAGGTAACCTGCCATCGCAGCAGGTATTGGCGGTTGGTGTAGGTCCTCCCCCCTCGGCTCCGGGTCTCGAGCAGCCAGGTGCTGCCACACAGTCTCCTGGAACTGGCGAAACTCGGCCCTCCATCCTTCGTCTCCCGGGTTAGGCGGTGGAGCCTGTTCGGGAACGTCGTCAGCCCTCGCTGCAAGCCAAGCACGTCGTTGCACCATTTCACTGCACCGCATTTAAGACAGTTTAGCAACTAACGACCGATAACTGCATCATCGATGTACGGACCTCGACATGTGAGGATTTTCTTCGGACATGGTTTGAAAATATTTTTCGTAGAAAACCGTTGAGTAATGAGCACGATTCCTTCCCAAGAAAAGAATGTGGCTCTGATACCAAAAGTTGTGACACCCGTAACCCGTGTACAGTTTATGGGCTGTGCCACATGGACGATATAAGATAAAATAATAAATCGCGGAAGCAAAGTTACGAAATCCAAAACATTTCAAATTAAATCAGAGTAAGCAGTGGAAAATACAACGCGATCAGTATCGCAAAATGATACATGTCTGAATAGTCATAATATAACCGTACAAAATGCGGGAATACAAGTTCCATAGTCCAGAATAAAAATCCCGTACATGATGTTGTTTTCCTCAGGTTGTCGTCATCCGATGCGCTAGGCGTAATCCTCATGATCTGAAAAATATAAACCACGAAGGCTAAGCACAACCGCTTAGTGAGTAGCTCAGGTTGAACCCGGAAATCGTTCCTACTTAGAACGGTACAGTCGACATTTCCATAAAACACATGCAATAAGTAAGAACATAGTAAGCACATAAATAGCAAACACAATCACACCCGTATGGAGTCCACCATAGGGTTTAGCCATATACCCTAGTCAAGTCGGCATGACTAGGGGGACCTCCACGTCCGTCACTCTCGTGACGTTGGCCGTCGTGTCGCACACGATTAAAACGTGTCTCAAACGCCCGTCAAGTCCATGACGGTGATGGTTGCGTCCACAACCATCCACAAACACAATCACGCTTGGCTCGTATGCACGAGCAAGCTACACACATGGCACACAACGTGCATATATCCCCATAGTACAATCATACATATCACGGTATCCGGTCCCTACCGGTCTACCGTTCCACGCCATGCAATTCTACCCACAACCAATCACGCAATGGTCACTCGTATTTCGATGTCGCACTCCTCACTACGCCACGTAACGTCTTGACGAGGATCGATTTTGATCCCAATCGCGAAGCTTTGTCCTTTGGTGAGGGTTTGGTCCACCCATGGTCAAGTCTGGTCAGGTACGGGCCAACCCCGTTGGTCATTTTCTCTTTTCCGGTCGAATCGGCAAATTCTTCTAATTTTCCTTTGAGTCTGGTCTGGCGGACCACGTTTTGGTCAGCCTCGGAACAGTGCTCTTTTCCCTGGTCCTCTCCGTCTCTTGGTCAGTCGGTCCAGGGGAGAAAACAGGTCTGGTCCGGCAGACCAGGGTTGGTCAGCCCGGACCAGCCTGCTCTTTCTCTCTCGGTCTGTCTCTTCTGGTCTGGCGGTGCGTGTAACCTCGGAACACGTCTGGTCCGGCGGACCAAATCTGGTCAGCTTGGACCAGGCGTGTTTTTCTCTCGGTACGATTCCTCTTCTCCTGGTTCGGCGGACTCCACGTGTATTTTTTCCAGTCTCGGTCCGGAGCTGACCACGCGTGGTCCGGCGGACCAGGACTGGAACTCTCTCTCGACTTCACCATTTCCGAATTCTTTTTCGATTTTTCTCGCTCTAATCGATTCGGAGTTACTTCCAAATGCTTCTAAAACATAGTTTGACATCCCTAGACATGTTCTAAGCCTCAAACACGCAAGGAAATCTCGATTTGCACCATCACACATTGAAAACAAGATCTCACAAATCCAACTCAAGCCACTCACATTGTTCTTGAGTTTGTCCGAGCTTGTGTGCGTCCTCTGCTCCTCCTCACACCGTGAACACCTTTAGGGCACGTCTAGGAACGTCCCCCTTTGTTTTTCCGAGCTCCCCTTGTACTGGTTCGCCTCCTCCCTCTCCCTTTCTCTCTCTTTCCTCTCTCCCCTGTTTCAGCTCGAAAATGGCTAAGGCAGAGGGTTGGGAGAGGTTTTTGCTGCGAGATAGGGAGTTCTCGGGCTCAAGCCCAGGCCTCAATGTCCTCGATGCGTGGGAGGCGGCTGGCGTCGAGCGGGCCCCAAAATCCGGCGGAATTACGCGTCCCAAGGTAGCAACAGAGCAAGTTACAATTTCTGTCGAATCCCGGTCCGCCGAACCAACTGCCTGGTCCGCCGGACCGGGGTCAGATATTTTTTTTTCGCAACTCTTCCCCAGTCCGCTCCGTGCGTTCCAACTCCGGCTGAGCAGGTTGGTCCGCCCCGGACCAAGTCTTGATCCGGCGGACCAACCTTTATATTTTTTTTTTCTTTTTTTTTCTTTTTCTTTTTGTTGATTCTTTCCGCACGTGACGATCCTCGTGCCTCTCTCCGGCATTGTACTATTCATTTTTGATGATTTCGTGATATCTCTATTTAATTATTTATTTCTAAATAATTAAATATTTGAATCTGGTTTCGGGGTATTACAACTGTTTTCAGACCGACTAATCTGGGATATTCGATCTGGATGATCTGATGTAAAACTCCAAAAAATTCGGATCATCTGATGAATCACTGTAATTCGAATTCTTGATGCACGCTCCGTAGTTGAACGTATTACGATGTTTCCCATGTTCATACGTGTGAAATGTGTATCCACACGTGAACATGATCGGCCATGACATCACTCTTCTGCTGAGCCCTTGTGATAAATCTCGCACCCAATGCAGAATCCTCTCGTCACGTAAAGATTGAATTTACAACCACAAGTTGTTATTGGGTTAGCAATCATATATGTATATATAATTAAATTACTATTATACAACTTACATAGTCTCTGAATCAAGATGCATAGTTTTCTTGTTTTAATTTGTCGAAAGCTTCAGCACTTAAATTTGGGTAAGCTTCTAAAACCTGCTTCTCAAAGATCCTGCAAAATGTTGATACGTTGAATATTCAGTTTCGCTCTCACATAGGATTGGATATTGAATGTACCTACAATATATATGCGTACGTACCTCTCATAATGACGAAGTTCTGCGCAATTCAATAAAATATAAGTAGCGAGATGGTTGTACTCCTGTACAGTTAACCAATATTCCTCTGATTTACCACCCATCCGGCCTGTTGGCATAAAAATCTCCGGAATGTCGTCCTTAAACCGATTCATAATGATATAGATATGTATCCAAATCATTATTGTCTGATCTCCGTTCCTTCGTCGGAATTCGATGTTCAAAATAAAATGAGCTGAAATATGTGATTTCTTCCAACAAATATTGCTTCACAATTGAACCTTCAACCGCAATTTTGTTATTCACCTTTTTCTTTAAATGGAAGAAAAACCATTCAAATGGATACATCCACCTAAAATTGAACTAGACCTCCTACGATCGCTTCATCTGGCAAATGAACGGTTAAATGCTCCATCACATCAAAAAATGAAGGCGGGAATACCTTTTCCAAGGCACATAGTATCTCCGGGATGTTGATCTTTAGAACTTCCAAATTGCTTCTTCTTAAATTTCTGGCACAAATATCTCTGAAAAATGAACTTATACCACATAATCCTTCGTGTACACTCGGTTTTAACAGTTCTGCAAAAGCAATCGGAATGAGACGTTGCATAAAAACATGACAATCTTGGCCCTTCATTCCTATAAGCTTCGTTGACTCCATATCAATGCAACAAGCTATTTTGGAGGCATATCCATCAGGAAATTTCACTTCTTCCTGCAACCACTTCATCAATACTTTCTTTCCAGGATCCAGTAATCTAAAGATTGGAGTTGGTGTCGTACCATCGTGTGTTAGCTCCAACTCTTTTCTTTTACAGATTTTCTTCATGTCTTTCCTCGAATTGACATTATCCTTTTCATTCCTGAGACATTCAGAACAATATTGATGATGTTATCAAAGAAATTCTTTTCTATATACATCACATCCAGATTACGTCGGAATGTAAGAGATCTCCAATAAGGTAGATCCCAAAAAAATAATTTGTTTATACCTGTTGTGTCAATCATCAAATCCTTTGCACTTTGTATACCAAAATTACCTCCACATCGAACGGATTCTTGCAAATCGTCAATAACACCATTGTTCATCCATTCAGAATAAATTTGGAAGCCTATCTGCAATATTGAAGCATACTCTTTAACATTCTACCTTTCACAAACACAGTACGGTTTTTCCGTAATGGATGATGCATTGGAAGAAACCATCGATGACAATCGAACCAACACGATTTCCGTCTGTGCTTTAAGTAAAACGCATCAATTTCTTCCATACAATAAGGACATAACAATCTTCTATGTGTGCTCCATCCACATAGCATACCATATGCAGGAAAATCGCTGATCGTCCATAGAAGCATAGTTTTTAGTGTGAAATTTTGTTTCACACTAACATCATATGTAGGAACTCCAATGCTCCACAAATCTGTCAATTCCTTAATCAAAGGTTGTAGAAACACATCAAAACTCTTCTTCAGGTGATCTGGCTCAGGAATCAACAACGTTAGAAACATAAATTCTCTTTTCAGACACATCTCCGGGGGCAAATTATATGGCGAGAGTATCACAGACCATAATGAATATTGCATGTCAGATTGTCCGTACAGACTAAGACCATCCGTGCATAAGCAGAGATAAACATTCCGAGGCTCAGTAGCAAAATCAGGAAATACCTTATTGAAATCTTTCCATGCAATGCCATCAAATGGATGTTGCATATCTTTTGTTGAGCTCGAATGATTTGCATGCCATCTCATATGTGATACCGTTTTCTCAGATTCATATATCCTTCTCAATCTATACGACACAGGCAAATATAACATCTTCTTATATGGCACTTTTCTACGAGATCTTTCCTTACTCGGTCGATATCTATTCGCTCCACAAAATTTAAACTGCATCAAATCTTTATCAGTATCTAAAAAAAGCATGCAACTGTTTCTGCAGACATCAATCTTTTCATGAGGTATTCCCAAATCCTTCAAGATTGCTTTTGTATCATAATATGATTGCGGTGCTTGATTGTTTTCGGGTAAATACTCATGCAATTTCTTGCAAAACGAATCCATGCAATTCTCAGTAACATTAAAATCTGTTTTCATGCTCATCAATCTTGATGCTAATGATAATCGAGACTGACCTTGTTTGCATCCTTCGTATATAGGATGATTTGCCATCGTGAGCATGTCGAAAAATCCTTTTGCATCATTATTCGGCTCTTCTTCTTGTTGTTGAACTTGCTCAAATACCCCTGGAAAAGCATTTGTCACCATTTGAGCGTACGGATTTCTTGTTCCAAATCAAAATATTGATTTTCTCGAGTTGCTTCTACCTCCTCTGTCTGTGTCCATACAACAGTATTCGTCTGTCCTGACTTCTTCTCCATGCATATGCCATACGTAGTAATTATCCATAAAACTCCTTCGATATAGATGTTTGCAGACCACTTCAGAAATTTTAAATTTCTACAACCTTTACATGGACATTGCAATTTTCCACGCTCTTGACATAAAGGTTGTATTGAAGCAAAACTCATAAATTGCTCCAAACCAGCACAGAACTCCGGTGTAACTTTTTTTGTTGTTAGATCTTCTCTACGATACATCCACTGCCTTGAAACATGTATATTTCGATTTGAGGAAGAAGAAGACATTTTGAGATATTTTGGTGTGAATGGAAGGGAGGGGCGGTTTGTTATATAATCGATGTATCAACGGATGTCCGTTGAAACTAATAGCCATAAATAGCAACGGATATCCGTTGATAATTCCAACGAACAAACTCCGTTGATATTTAGCCGTTGAAAATAAGCAACGCCTGAATTCCGTTGTATAAAATCGTTGAAATATATCAACGGAAATACCCGTTGCTAATCCGTTGTAATTATCAACGGATGATCAACGGAAAAGTTCTGCTGCTACATCCGTTGCTATTTCGTTGATTTCCGTTGATATTAGCAACGAGTTTTGTCCGTTGAGAATCCGTTGAAATAATGTCAACGGAATTCTCCGTTGATATAAAGCTGTTTTTATTTGTAGTGGAATGCGCTGAGACCGAACCATATATTTTTTTTTATCAAAATATGATTTAGACCGAACTCTATCAAAATTTTGGTACTCGCTTCAGACGAACTAAGAGACGCCTAGTCTGAACGAAATGTGCGATGACAATATATAATTTCTTACCATATGATCCACCTTTACTTGTAAGGCTTCTACCGTGTAGGATGCCTGACGGAATAGCCTATGGTTTCTTTCTTACCAAATTCTATAACACGCAATAGAATTTTGAAAAGTTTGTGAGACTTATCATAGTCATGAGAGTGAGTCTCGAACCATTGAGGATAGTGTTATAGGTTTGTCGGAGGTGATAACCAACAACTTCCTCCATATATATCGGTTTGAAACAGTTGCAAAAAATTACATTCAAAGAAGAGATACTCATGAGTTTCATCATGTGATTATTAGTCATGTTATCATACACATACATGATGTAAAGTGAGATATCATGCATAATTAATGATGTCAAACGAGTCAACTTGACTCGGTTCATCTCAACTCGTTACGAGTTGTCTCGTTTTGGTTTAGCTCACCAAACTTGTTTTCTAACGAGTTAGAAAAACTTTGGCTTAATTCAACTCGTCAGTTTTTTGAGTTAAACGAGTTAACTTGTCGAACTAAATACATATATATATTTTTTTAATATTTATTTTTAACTTAACGGTAAATGAAAATAAACACATAAAAAAATATATGAAACGTAAAGACTACAAACTATATAACAAAAGTGTTAGTCGGAATTTTAAAAGATAGAAGAAACAATATAACAATATAATAATATAACAATTGTTCAATCACCAGTTTGCCTAACTGATTGTTTTTAAATGAGTTTAAAAAACCCTAGCTTAGATTACTCGTTTTTAAACGAGTTGCATGTCTGTTTGTAAGGCAAATTCATTTTGACATCCCTATTTATAATAATATTTATAACTTCTCTTAACCATAAAAATATTGGACGATGATCAATTGTGATATATGGAAAGAAGCATATTACGAAACGAATATTACAAAATGATTTGTGATCATCATGATTTATGAATTGGTAATCAAATAAAGGTTATCGATGATATATTAGTCTAATATAAAGTTGTATGATTAAAATTTATTAGACTACAAATCATCACATAAACTAAGTGAAAGAATATAAAAAATAAATTATTATATAATTTATATAATTTGAGTTTTTGAATTTTAATATTAATTTTATTTTTTGATAAATAAAAATATATTAAAGAATTAAGGTATTTTGAAGGAAAAATACCTAAAAATTTCTAAATTTGTAATTTGGTTTAATAATAATTTCTGAATTTATATGTGCATCTATTTATTTTCGAACTTGTATTTTTAGCATAAAAATTCCTAAACTTGTATTTTTTTAGCACAGTAATTCCTAAACTTGTATTTTTTAACACAATCATTCATAAACTTTGTTTTGATCAATTAGTGGTATAGATGATTATAGAATTATTAAACAAATTTAGTAATTACTGTGTTCAAAAATATAAGTTTAGAAATAAACAAAACGTCCTATCAATTTAAGAATTAATAATTACGTCAAATTATAAATTTAGAAATTTTCTATATTTTTTTCGTATTTGAATAGAACAAAAATTTCTATATTTTTATCCATCCAAAAAAATTACGGTACGAGAGAGAAAAAAAGTCATTTCTCTCGTTGATTTTTTTCAAATTGAGTAAATTCAAATCTGTTGTTGTTTTTTGTCGCAAACATAACATGCCGAGCGGATAAATGAAAAATAATTTTGAGAAGAACGATAAGGAAAGACAAAGAGAGAGAGAGAGAGAGAGAGAGAGAGAGAGAGAGAGAGAGAGAGAGAGAGAGAGAGAGAGAGAGAGAGA